CGCGATAGAGAGGTATGCTCGGGTAGCATTGTCTTCAGACCTCCCTTGACAGTCTTGTCGACTCTGATGTATGGCAATCCCAGGTGTGTGCAGGGGGCAGTGTGACGTATAACAGGTGGTTCGACAATCGCTGAAGGATGGGACGGGCCGCCTGTGCAACTGGGATGGACAGCGCCTGAGAGATCCCGTGCTCTGCTCAGAAGATAGCGCACGCCACGGGGCAGCTGTCAACGTCTACCTTGGATAGATGGCTCCGATGTGGATGAGCACGTCTCGCATAAAATCGGTAGGCGTCGCAAAAATGTTGTCCTCCCGGAGCTCACCATCGAAGGCGTCAAAATTGTCCGTGTTCCCATTGCCTGGCAGTAACCTGAGAATTGGACGTGCGTGGATGGAGTGCCTCATCTGTGGGCGAGATTTTAAGAGTACGTAATGAGCTACTTGGACACTGGCAAGCGTGGAAGCTGAACTTACTGGGCAGCTAGATTGTGTACTAATGGAACTTACCGTTATATGGCTGTCTCAACGTGAGACGCCTTGTCCGGACCTGAATTATTGGCACCCATATCGAGCAGCAGCTTGCAAGCGACACTCACCAAAGGCCATCTGCGAGCGCAACAGCTCCCTGGCAGGTAGTGGCATCCGCATCCGTTTTGAAGTGTGTACTTATGCCATGAGATTTGGTAATACAGTGAAGCTCGCGAGGCTGGGTTACATAGCAGAAACGCGCGCGCTAGCTAAACTCGTAGCCAGTCAACTTGGCAGGCGCAGGGACGCCGCTTTCCAAGGGTGGAAGAGGGGTTGGTGTGTGACAACGACAAGCCTGGTTATTAAAACCAGGGAGCGGCTGTATTGAGCCCAGTGGTTCTGCTACGACGGTATCGCCCTGCCACCGGGTCACTGCGATGATAAGGCCATGCCTGAACGTTTGAACTTTAGACGAGGGCGAAACAGCTGATTGCACCCGAAACCGCGAATTCGATATGCTCACGTACTATGGGAGACTCCGAAGCTCCGCTTTGCACTACAGTATCCTGTGGGACGATGAACCGTATAACGAATACGACAAGCCGCCGTATTTGTATTGACACGAGACGTAACACCGAGTCTAAAGAAAGTTGAGCTAACTCGACGAAGAGCAGCTGCGCCCACGGCGAGGGATAAGATAGGCCCATCTTATGCGGCGCTTCCACCATACCGTGAGCTATGTTTGAGAATCATCTCGGGAAACAGGTTTGTGCGCCTTTGTGCCGCGTCCCCATGCCTTCGCACGTTCTCCCCAATCGTCCCGGACGCCCCAGACGTGTTCGTCCCGGAGCCGGGGCGCCTCAGGGCGTTGCCGCAGGTCGAAGTGTTCCGGGTCGTGTGCCGCCTCTTCGGCGAAGTCAGGGTCGCTGCGAACCCCCGGAGCGCTCGTCGCCGCAGAGTGACCCTGCCGCTCGACGCCGACGTTTGAGGGCTGTTCCCACTTGCGCTGGGAGGCGGGGAGCGGCATCCAGTGTTCCTGCGCGGCGTACGCCTCGCTGGTCATCTCGTGGAGACGTGACAACGCGCGCTTGTACGCAAACTGCTCCTCCTTGCCCGAGAACATCGAGAGCGTCTCGAGGGGGACGGCGGAATGACGGGCGGGCGGTGCTTCCGCCATATTCGGAGCATCGTATGACGATACATTGGGCCGATAGACGTCGCGGGTCTCGCCGACGGCTTCGGCGAGGAGCATGTCGACATCGGCGGGAGGGCTAGTAGAAACCGCGTCCGGGAAAAGGAGCATGTCCAGCTCGGCTTCTGCAAGACAAACGATGCGACATCGCGCTTCGTATAGAGCATCGATGAGCGAGATGAAGCGTCGCGCTTGGTTTTTGGACGACAGCTTTAGGACGGGTATTGACGTAATAACTACGGTATGGAATGAAGATGCGATCGTGAGATAATCTGCAGAGCCCATTGACTGGAGAAAAGCGAGTTAAGCCGGCTGATACTTCGGCGATGGCAGAAAACACACCTCTTCGCAAAGCTCGTCAAAAGATAATTTGCAGATACCACCGACTGTCCACGGGACACGTATAGAGCGTCCGAAGACAGTCAAAACGCGGGCATCTGATTCTACAAAGTGGCGTCATGAAACATGGCTTAGCACAATGGAAGACAATGGGCGGTAATTCAATGTACCTGCAGCCGCAGCAGTTTCACCTTTGCGGAGTTCTTCAAGCTTGCGCTCAAAGCCCGTTTGATGCTCCATTGTGTACCACGTCCTGCTTGATCCCGACGATGCCCTGACTTCTCGCCAGTCCTGTTTGGTTCTCATGACCACTACGGGGCATCTGACCTTCATTGCTTCGACGAATGGTTCAAGCCGTTCTCGTTGAACGCCGTTGCGATACAGATCATCGGGAACCTTGTTCGACGTGCCGACGATGACACCTCCCATTCGCCAGAACCAAGAGAGGACATCCGCAAGTAGTGTGGCGCTCGAAACGTCCAGAAGTTGTACCTCATCGAAGACAAGGAGCCAGTGCCGAAGGATCAAACGTTGTGCTACCGCGAAGGCGATGGTTGGGTTGTAAGAAGCGCCCCACGCAGACAATATCATGTTCGGCTTCCGTGCCCACTTCACTGGCAGGGACCCTGAGGCGATAAGCTCTTGCCACCGGGCACGGACCACCTTGTTCCATGGTTGAGGGGAAGTAGGCGGAACACCCTCAACCAGATAGCTACTCGCCATTCGACGCTGAGTTTCTATCCACACGGCACGGTAGATTTCTAGGACCAGTTGGCTGTAATGCTTGCGAGCCTTGTAGCGCGTGGGCAGCGAGTTGAACCAGAGATCGACGAGAAGGCTCTTTCCTGACCCTGGAGGGCCGGTAAGGAGAAGGCCCTTAATGTTCTCAGCATCCAAGACAGCTCGTGGGCGACAACAGGGTACCTTAGGTGTCGTGAGCTGTACCAAGTCCTCGGCATGATTCCGTACATGGACAAGGGCTTTAGTATTGATCGCAGCGGAGAGATGGTCTGATGCGACTGATGACCACCACGGGTCAGTTTCATCATGTGCTGTTTTAGACGGGCGGGCATCAAGATAGTGGGAAGTGAGCGCAGGAGGAGCATAGTCGGCTAGTTCCTTGTGCAGCTTCCTCAGCTATATGCGAGCGGCTCTGTAAGCATGTGGTACCTGTACTATGTGTATGCGCACCTCCAGTATGACCCTGACTTGGTCTTCATCAGACTTGATTCTCCCGAGAGCAACAAGCCCTCGATATGTGTCTAGAAGGTCCACCGTCTGCGGCAGCAAATCGGAAGAGCACTGCGGAGTCGAAGAGAACAGGTGCCTCTGCAGAGAACTGTTACGTCCTCGCACGAGGGCTCTGCTAAGGGTAGAAGTCGATGAACGAAGATGTGCCGTTAACCATCGTTGTCCCAACGAGCTAAGCATTGGGTCCAGGATTGCAGCCAGAGGCTACAGGACATTGCGGAATGAGATTAAGCCACACTAGCGCGGAGCTAGCGGTTCCTTGAAGGTGATTCAAATCTGGTAAGTAAGCGTTTGAAGCAGAATAGCACATTCTTATTGATCACATCAACAACTTTCCTTACACCATCAGTCTACCGCGTCACCGCCTGAGTAAACGCCTCATTTCTTCCCCGAACCACTAGACGGCTATTGCAGGTCCAGCCAGCCTGCAATGCATCTCTACAACCTCACGCTCCAGCCCTCGACGACCATTAGTCAGGCTATCGTTGGAAACTTCTCGGGGGCAAGGCAACAAGAAATTATTGTCTCGCGGGGCACGCGACTCGAACTCCTTCGTCCGGACGTGCAGACTGGTAAAGTCTCAACAGTCGTCACAAGTGATGTCTTTGGGTCCATTCGCTCGTTGACGGCTTTTCGATTGACTGGAGGCACGAAGGGTGAGCCGTCGTACGTATCCCTTTCCTCTGTCTAGTATTCATCATCCCCTCTTTCCTAATTACAGACTACGCGATCGTAGGCTCGGACTCCGGCCGTATCGTCATTCTCGATTATGACCCCAAAACAAGCAGCTTTGTCAAAGTCCACCAAGAGACCTACGGCAAGTCCGGCGCACGGCGTATCGTTCCTGGACAATACCTCGCTACTGACCCAAAGGGTCGCAGCGTCATGATTGCCGCGACGGAGAAAGCGAAGCTCGTGTACATTCTCAACCGCGATGCTGCCGCCAACCTCACCATTTCCTCACCGCTCGAGGCTCATAAGAATAATGCCATCATTCATCACATTGTGGGCCTGGACGTTGGCTTTGAAAACCCAACATTCGCCGCACTGGAGGTGGATTACTCTGAGTCGGACCAAGACCCGACTGGAGAGGCGTTCAACAACGCAGAAAAGGTACGTACTTCGTGCTGTATATGTGATTCACTGCATATTGATTCCAAGTCAGCTCTTAACTTACTACGAATTGGATCTTGGACTCAATCACGTTGTGCGCAAATGGAGCGAACCCACTGACCCACGTGCAAACCTCCTCGTGCAGGTGCCGGGAGGGCAGCTAGCCTCTTCCGACCGCTACGATGGCCCCTCTGGTGTGTTAGTATGCTGTGAAGATCATATCATCTATCGACACATGGATGCCCCTCAGCACCGAGTGCCCATTCCCCGCCGGCGGCATCCATTAGAGGATAAGGAGCGTGGTCTCATCATAACTGCGGCAGTCATGCACAAGATGAAGGTGTGTCTTTTTGGCTATATTTGCGTAGGCTGCAACTAAGGATCTATACCACAGGGCGCGTTCTTCTTCTTGCTGCAAAGTGAGGAGGGCGACCTCTACAAGGTAACAATCGAGCACGAAGAGCAGGATGTCAAAGCCTTGAAGATCAAATACTTCGACACTGTGCCTGTTGCTTCAAGTCTCTGCATCTTGAAATCCGGTTTCCTATTTGTTGCGGCAGAGTTTGGCAACCAGTACGTCTTTATACTTTCTCCAGGTAACTTTTACCATTGATAATCTTTCAGTCATCTCTACCAGTTCCAGAAACTCGGAGATGACGACAACGAGCCCGAATTCTCCTCTACTATGTACCCGAACTTTGGCATGGCAAACCCCGCTATCTCTCTTCCTCCTGCATACTTTAGCCCTCGTGGTCTCGACAACCTGACGCTGGTTGATGAACTTGAGAGCCTGGATCCCGTCGTTGACGCGAAGGTTCTCAACCTCCTACCCAATTCTGATTCACCGCAAATTTTCGCAGCTTGCGGACGCGGTGGTAGAAGCTCTCTGCGAATGCTGAGACATGGTCTCGAGGTCGAAGAAGTCGTCAGCTCAGATCTCCCTGGTATTCCGAACGCCGTTTGGACAACGAAGCTTCGGGAAGATGGTGCGTGCAGCATTCTGGTGCGCGAGATGGTGCTTACGAACATCTTCTACAGATCCATTCGACTCGTACATTATTCTGTCCTTCGTCAATGGCACTCTCGTCCTTTCAATCGGTGAGACAATCGAAGAAGTGCAAGATACAGGCTTCCTCTCCTCGTCCCCCACACTTGCCGTTCAGCAACTCGGCGCAGATGCTCTCCTGCAAGTGCACCCTCATGGTATCCGACATGTACTGGTGGATCGCCGTGTTAACGAGTGGCGTGTGCCGCAAGGCAAGACGATCGTTTGCGCCACCACCAATCGTCGGCAAGTCGTTGTCGCTCTGAGCAGTGCCGAGCTTGTCTACTTCGAACTCGACTTGGAGGGTCAGTTGAACGAGTACCAGGAGCGGAAAGCCATGGGCAGCACCGTCCTTGCGCTGAGTGTCGGTGAGGTGCCTGAAGGCAGGCAGCGCACGCCATTCCTCGCTGTCGGATGCGAGGACCAAACGGTGCGCATCGTGTCCCTCGACCCCGAGAGCACGCTCGAGACGATCAGTCTGCAAGCGTTGACGGCGCCCCCGTCTGCAATCTGCATTGCCGACATGTTGGATGCTGGTATCAACAAGGTTCAGCCGACAACTTTTGTAAACATCGGCTTACAAAACGGCGTGCTGCTGAGGACGGTGCTCGACCCTATCAATGGCCAGCTGACTGACACGCGAACGAGGTGTGTCCTATCTGTGTTCGCCAGGCAAGGAGAGCAGCTGACAGGTGGTTTAGGTTCTTGGGAACGCGCCCCATTAAACTTGTTCGCGTGCAGATACAGAGGAACCCTGGCATTCTCGCTCTCTCGTCCCGGTCATGGTTAAACTACACCCACCAGAACCTTATGCATTTCACACCTCTGATCTTCGACAATCTCGATTACGCTTGGAGCTTCTCCGCGGAACTCTGCCCGGAGGGTCTCATTGGTATCTCAGGGAGCGTTCTGAGGTGAGTCCTTCGTTCTTCCAGAGGCCTACGGAGACAGCCAAGACAACTGAGCGGCTGAGTTTGATAATATCACAAAATCCCTCTCATCTGCACATCGTTTTATCATTGAGCTGTCACTGCTCGTTTACGCCGCTATCTGCTAATGACACTGGCCAGAATTTTCCAAATTCCTAAGCTGGGTACGAAGCTCAAGCAGGACTCCATTCCTCTCTCATACACACCGCGCAAGATGATTGTGCACCCTACGAACGGGTTCTTCTACATGATCGAAGGCGACCATCGGGTTATGGGAGAGGAGGCGAAACAGAAGAAGATCGAGGAGCTGGTAAGCTCGTAGTCTTATAGTGGGTTTTCTCTCTAACCTCATCCACGGTTTCAGAGGCAGCAAGGGAAGCAAGTTGACGAAGAGATGCTGAACCTTCCTCCAGAAGTGTTTGGTCGGCCAAAAGCACCTGCGGGCACATGGGCGTCGGGTATCCGTATCGTCAGTCCCGTTGATGTGAGTATATTATGTCGTGTATTTGCGCAAATGTTTTTCAATATTCTTTCTAGGCACAAACGGTCAATTTCATACCGCTCGACAACAACGAGGCCGCGTTCTCGATAGCTGTCGTGCCATTCACGGCCCGCGGAGGCGAATTGACCTTGGTTGTCGGTACTGCTCAAGACACATTCCTCGCACCACGTTCATGCACGAGTGGCTTCCTGCGTACCTACCGGTTCTTGGATGATGGTCGGGACATTGAGTTGCTGCACAAAGTGCGTATCGTGGGTTTAATCTGAAAGTTCAGTTTGCTCATGGAGTCGTAGACGGAGACGAATGACGTTCCACTCGCTATCATGGCCTTCCAAGGTCGCCTGGCTGCTGGTATTGGCAAAGCTTTGAGAATCTACGATATCGGAAAGAAAAAGCTCCTGCGCAAGGTCGAGAGCAAGGTATGTGACTTTGTCCAAAAGCGCATACAACCAGCTCACAATTGCGTTTAGAACTTTTCTAACGCAATCGTAACGCTGAATACGCAAGGTTCGCGCATCATTGTTGGTGACATGCAAGAGTCGATTTTCTATGCCGTCTACAAGCCACCAGAAAACCGCTTGCTCATTTTCGCCGACGATGCCCAGCCGCGCTGGATTACCGCTGTCACGATGATCGACTACAACACTGTCGCCGCCGGTGACCGCTTCGGCAATGTCTTCGTGAACCGACTCGACCCCAAGATCAGTGACCAGGTCGACGACGACCCAACAGGCGCGGGCATCCTGCACGAGAAGGGCATCCTCATGGGCGCGCCGCACAAGACGGCGATGATCGCGCACTTTCACGTCGGCGACATCGTGACGTCGATTCACAAGGTCTCGCTCGTCGCGGGCGGACGCGAGCTGTTGCTCTACACCGGGCTGCACGGCACGGTCGGCATCCTCGTGCCGTTCGTCTCGAAGGAGGACGTCGACTTCATCTCGACGCTCGAGCAGCACATGCGCACGGAGCAGCTCAGCCTCGTCGGGCGCGACCACCTCGCATGGCGCGGGTACTACGTGCCTGTCAAGGCTGTCGTCGACGGCGACCTCTGTGAGATGTTCGCGCGTCTGCCGGCGTCGAAGCAGAGCTCGATCGCGACCGAGCTAGACCGCACCGTCGGTGAGGTGCTCAAGAAGCTCGAGCAACTCCGGGTCACTGCGAGCGGGTTCTAGATGTTCTGTATGGCGTGCTTGCCAGAGTGTTGTTGTACCTATCTCCTACTCTTATAATGCTACAATAAAAATTATGTCTTCGATGGCACTCTTCTGCGCGAACACAGCCAAAAACATCGCAGGGCACCAGAGTATCAAATCAGTGAGATGTTCGCGTCAATACCTGCACTACGTTCTCTTCAACCAGCTCATTCGCCTCACGCACACAGGGGTAGTGAGGCGTTCGCAATCTTTTGACATTCCCTATAGAGCAGCACCAAAACCGTACAAACGAATCCAACG